ACCAGAAATTTGGATGATGTTTGCGAAGTGTTTGGAGCCCCCACACCAGCCACTTTGCAAAGGACATTTCGTGCCAGTGACTACGGCGTTTCCTTTCAACTGATCCATTTTGCCGTGGTGTAAGACTATCCAACCATTCCCAATTCTTGTGGCGGAGATAGATAGAGAATGCCGAATCATTTGATATATATATATACAGATATACAGATATACATATATAAATGTATAGCTCTTGAGAAACGCTGGATTGCCATATAAACCCCAAACAAGGATATCACGGAAGATCACAATCAATGTAATACAATGATAAGACTTCTCATTTAACATCATTGTCATACCGTAATTATCATAATTGACAATTATCACACAATCATATATATATATATATACATACATAATATTCCAATGAACTAATTAAATCCAGTAGCACCTATCATTATAACAATCAATAACGATCAGTTGTATATCACAATCATTATTCAACTGGTGTCCTTTCCATTTGGGCGACCAAGGCCACCTTGGTGATCACCATGAGAGCCTTCCGCGCGGAATCCTGGGTGAGATTGATTCAAGATGTATTTTGTAGATCCATCTTTGGTACATTTTTTTTTCACATACAATATATGTAACATATAACATATCGGGATTGATAATGGTTTATAGCCATTTATAACTTACATATCTCTCTCTCTCTCTCTTTTTGAATAGGGATGATCGGTTGGCCCAAAATCCGGCGATGAAAACGGGACGCCAAAAACGGCGATCAGGTCGCACCCTGGAGCTCGCGAGAAGCGAAGCGACGCGGCTGACGCAGCGGCTGGTTCGGGGAGCCCAGACCGGAGAGTCCCGGTGGTTGGGCGGTTGGGCCATTTTTTTTGTCGTTTTTTTTGATATGAAAATGATGACATAAAAATTGGAAAACACAAAACAATAACAAAAGCATCCAATCTTTAGTATTTCTTCTGTTTGTCTGATTTTATTTTGTAAGACCTGGCTAGAAGACTGACACTAGATGTGTGCCTTGCCAATGACTGGCGCAGGATGAACTAACTCCTGGTCAGCTGACCACCAGCATGGCGCGCATGGGCAGTGCGGAACTCTGAGGGATTCTTCAGACAAACTTGCAGCAGGGGCTTGAGCAAGCAGATATCATGTATACAAGTAGCACCTGGGCAAGCCAGGGGCGGAAGTTTCAAAATTGAAACGCCTATAGCCTATAGAGTGAAACAAAGAATGTGCCTATAGGGCGCGGGCAAGCCTTGTGTGCTTCGCAGCAACAATCTCTTGACTTGTCATTCCGGTGCCATCTTCTCAAGGTTGGATCCTTTCTCATTTTCATCTGACCTCATCTCATCTCACCTCATCTTATCCAATTTCATCTCAGCTCATCATGAAAACGAAGCTTTTTTGCGAGACTTCCCTCAAAAACTGAAAGCTGAAGATGTGAAAATGAAGCTTTTGTGCGAGACTTCCCTGAAAAATTGAAAGTTGAAGATGTGAAAACGAAGCTTTTGTGCGAGACTTCCCTCAAAAACGGAAAACTGAAAGTTGAGATCGTCTCATTCTGATCTCAGCTCACTCTCAGATCCACTCACACTGAGATTATCCCACCCTCATCTCAACCCATCCCAACTCACACTGAGATCATCTCACTCGCATCTCAACTCACTCTCATCTTCACTCACGCTGAGCTCATCTCACCCTCATCTCAACTTACTCTGAGATCGTCTCACCCTGATCTCAAGTCATTCTGAGATCATTCACCCTCATCTCAACCCACTCTCATCTTCAGTCATTCTAAGATCATCTCGGTCTCAGATCCACTCACACTGAGATCATCTCACCCTCATCTCAACTCACTCTGAGATCATCTCACTCTCATCTTAACTCTGGAATATCCGCAACTCGGAAGTATAGGCTTCTAAACTTTCTTTGGTCAGACACACACACACACATATATATATATGTATGTGTGTAAATATATGTATGTATATGTGTATATATATATATATCTTCGTTTAAACATGAATGTGAATATGTATATGTATGTGTACGTGTATATGTATATGTAAACATATATGTAAACATTTCGTATGTTCCCCCTGAAATCCCCTGAGTTTTCATGAAATTCCATGAGTTTCCAGAAGGAACATATTTTTTCCTTTCTGGGTGGGGTTCCGGGGTTCCGGGTTCGATTTCAGCAATTTGCAGCACAGCTGCTGCAACCAGTTGGGCCCCATCTCAAGTGACTGGCAGAAGGAGTGTCTCAACACATGCAGGCTGTACTAAGCCCATTGTTTTTTTGCACCGCTGTAACGCTTTCACCTGCTAAGGTCTGAAGGGATACGTTTTCCAATGCACAGAACCTTGGTGCAATGGATGAAGGAAGTGACAGCCTTTTGCATACTGCAGATCGCGCCCAATCAAATCGATGGTTTGCTTCCACATGATCTTACTTCTGTCGACAATCGTGCCTGTTTTGGCTACCACTGCCAAAAAACAATCCCCAATTGTTTTTCTAGATATTCGAATATTTTTGTGACAGCTGAAAAGGACAATCAATGGGTTCAGTTGACTTTACCGCCGCACTTTTATGATATGCTCAACCAACGCAATCAGTCAGGAATCTCCACGCAAATTCATCACCAGGTGACCATCTTCATCTCAAGATTGTGTTACAGTGACAAATTCTTTATCAATTTAGGCAGGTGTCTCCGCAAACGTCCAATTTTTTGCCTTGGATGGCTTGCTCTCTTCCATGTCGATGGTGATTTCATTTTGCATTTTTTTTTGGCAATTGCCTATATTTGCAAATTGGAAAAGTGGCTGAGAGAGTGGCAGATGGCCCACTTCCCTTAGGATTTGGTCTTTTCAATGGAGATCCTCTACCCAGACGATGGGGGCATAGAGGCTGACGTGGGAAGTGCAGAGGGTCCGAATAGGCCAAGTTGCGATGTCAGACCCAGTAAATTGTTTCCTGATAAATCAGAATTTTCTCTGTTACTGCAATGGTTTCGATTACCCCACTCTTCATGGAATGGAAAAATAGTTTGTCTTCTTGCAAAAATTCACCAGATTTGGAGCGTACAAACCAATCCCCCAAATCTGCCCTCCCTGAAAAGCAGATATTGTTCCCCAAGAAATGCTCAAAAACAGACCAACACTCTTGGCCCAAAAGGAGGGCCTCGGGATCCCCAAAGAGTTGCCCCAAAATTCTCCGCCCAGGTCTACCGGTCTGTGGACGCTAGCACCTCGAGCACCGAGCCTCCGGAGCTGCAGATCGGTTTTACCATTGGATTTTTATTGGGGATTATTGGATTAAAATGGATTAAAATGGATTAAGGATGATTAAGGGGCTATAGCCAAGTAGACCGAAGCCATTTTTTTAAAGGCAACCTTTTTCTTCCGATTTTTGGAAATAGTCAAATAGTCTTTGCGCTTTGGGGACATATTTGTTGAAACATGCTGTTTCCACCAAATGTTTTGGATATCAAGGTTGAGTTGGAGCTTTGAACGGTTGCAGGTTTGATGCTAGTGACGTCCCAGCAAACGCTTTCGCTTTCATTTGGGAACAAAGGAATCCTAGCAACTTCACTATTGGATGTATTTGAGATGCGTGTCTGAAACATTGTACTGTGATAGATTGTGATAGTGTACAAGTGGTTTCTTGGTCATTTGGGGATTGATCTTTGGTCAGCTGTGGCGTTCACAGGAGACGCCGCTTTCTTCCAGCAGCGAGGACTTTAGCCTCTTGGGCTTCCTGTTGGTTCGGAGACCCAGCAGCCCAGCGGCCATCCGAGACCATCCACGGTCCCTCGCAGCGAGTGCTGTTTCGTGCTGAGGCGTGGAGCTTCATCATAGCTAGCTGAGACATCCAACAATGGTCCAGGAGAGGAGAATACATTGAATACATTATGGCGTTTAGGTATATTTATGGTGTGTTATGGCTCCGTTTCAGATGTTCTTGACATTTTTTGTGGATGTTTTTGGGACGATTCAACAACATTTTCATTGGCTCTCTCATTGCACAACGGACATGTGTAACCACTGGAGCGTCGGATGGTGAAACCATTTCCAAGCACCCAGTGGCTTGTGGTAAATTAGTGGGGTCCATTTAAACAAGGTCCAAGGTCATGTCTAGTAATGGCTAGTAATGTCTAGTATGCTTCAGATTTGTCGGATCTTGAATCCTCGTGCAACCTTGTACCACTTGTACCACGAGTCACAAGTCCTTTAAATGGACCCAATTGGGACCCGTCGTGACACATCATGAGGGGTTCGTGTGTTCTTCGTGTGCCGTGGGTAGCACGGATTTTGAAGTTTCCGGTGCTGTGGGCCTCGGGGTGGATCCAATGCCTCAAACTTTGGAAAGCAGATCTTGGTGGTGAAAACATGGGGAGAAAATTTGCAATGTATTACTTTTTTGAACAACTTTCATACCACTTTCTGGATTTGATTTGACTAGAGATATCCCTAGAAAGCAGAAACTATAGAACCTGTTTTGGACGGAACCCCTGGGCCGGCAGCGTGCAGTCACAAGGACTTCGTTTCACAATCCCAAAAGAGTTGGCAGATACCGCTCCTTTGGTGATTTTGAGACCGTCATTGCTTAGCAATGGGTGAAAAAGGGGTTCTTGTGGAGCTGTTCACATCGAGTCCTAAAGAGTTTGAAAACAAATTATAACACATCTATTCACGGAGAGCATAATCCAGAGGTTCAAGCAGATTCGACAAAATATGAGTTTTGATCAATCCATGCAGACCGGTTTCCCTCTGTTGAGATGGCAGTTTCTTCTCAAAGTTCAACGGTGCAGTGCTCGCAGTGCTCAGTGCAGCTAAATACAGCTGACTATACGTTTGAATCAGCATCCTTCAGTCTATAGAACATGGGTACTTAAACCTCTGAAATCACATGACATGCGATTCTTAGCCACGTAGAAAGAGATTTTGACGTTGAAATGTATCTTCGCTGATGGGTGCTTCTTGAAAGCCAAGATGCCATGGCAGGCTGTGCAGGGTCCGTGCGGATTCGATCCTTTGATGGGTTTGGCAACACTAAAGACACCAACAGATTCGTTTTCGGAATATTTCACGATATATTTCATGATTTCACGAAAGCTAGCGGTAGCAAATCCTGTGAGGTCTCTAGGCAATCTGTATTCAGCATATAAAAATCCCATCAAAATCCCATCTTGTTTCCAGGCTCATATGAACCAATGTCTTTGTTGGATATTTCAATATTTCAGATTCTTTCGGAATATCATTCGTGCACTGGCCGCTCCAAGCCCGCATCAGGTTCACATGGCAAACTACCCGACTTCGGTGCCCTACTGAGATGCCACTTACCCACACCCAGGGTCTTCTTGGGCGTTCAATGCAGTGAAGACTTTTTAGCAACGCCCAGAAAGATTGACAAGTGAAATCCATTGAAATCCTATAACGTTAAATCAGCATTAAATGAACATGTTTCATCATGTTTCTATGTTTTCTCATTTTTTGGACTATTGGCGCACCGAAAATCCTCAGATCTCTTGGGATGCAGGTACGTCCCGGTTCACCGAAAAGGAAGCTGAGAAGCCACCGAAGCACAGCCTGCAACCCATTCTGCTGGGAAGGCCAGGGAGCTGGAGGAAGTTTACTTGACATTGAGTAGATATCTACTCAATGGGTATGTTCACTATGCATGAACATATACATATTATATATTATTATATATATATAATCAGAATCGCATATATATAAATAATTATATACATAATATATACATGTATATAAATGTATATATATATATAAAATCATATACATAATATATATATATAATTACTGTTCCAAATCTATATGCTCGTTGCTTAAATAAACGCAGTTGTAATTTTTTGTTTGTTGCACGGGTCGGCCTTTGCTGTTGATTTTGCGATTTTGCGGTCTCATTTTTGGTACCGCCAGACGGTCCCCAAAATGGGACCGTGAAAGTGCTTTTCTTTTGTTCTTTTATGAAGCTGTGCGTGCGGTCCCAAAAATGGGACCGCCAGGCGGTCCCATTTTTAGGACCGTGTTTAGGTGCATTTTTTTGAAGTTTTTTTGTATCAGGGTTGCAGAAGCGCAATGTTTGGGCCTCAATGAAGCTTTGTGGCTTATGGCGACCGGAAGGGCAACTAGGGAGGCCCTTTTGAGCGAAGCCGGTTTTGAGAAGTTTTTCCGGACCCAGAATTGGGCCCGTCGGAGCAAGCTGTTTTGTAGATGTTTTTGTTTCTTGTTGGGGCAAGCGGGGTGCATATCGGTTGCTGTTTGAACCCAGTTGAAGTTAGCTTCTTATTATTTCGTTTTGTCTGGTGGCTAGATTGTTTGCTGCTGAAAGAAGGCCCATCAGCCTTTTGCAGCCTTAGGTGATTGCTTGAAGTGTTTCTTGCTGTTGCGGAGTTTGTGCGTTTTCGCGCAGGTGGTCGGCTTCCATTTGAATGATTGTATTGAATACTTTACTGCCCCTTGTTGGCCCCTCTTGCCCCTCTAGACTCCTACCGAAGTTTTCAGCCCAGAAAGAACATGAATTATGATCATTTCAGTCAATCCCGTTATTAATTAATAGTATAAATTTAAAACGGGATGGAGCAAGAATTTGCTTAGGGAAAGATGTGGGAAGGTGCGGTGAAGTATTGAAGGCTTTCTTACTCCGCCATCGTTTCGATATCGTGTCAATTACATTGGGTACTTGAATTAAGACATAGCACGGAGTAGCGGAGTAGCGCGGGTAGCGCGGAGTAGCGAAGGATTGGTGAATGTTGCCTGTGTGGTGCTGCATCGCAATCGCCGCATTGGAGCTAGGGAACGGAGACAGCTGATACCACACGTGCGCTTTCAGGTTCCATTTCTGGGGCCGGAAAGTCAATTGAAATCAGGCTTCGCATGTGCGGGCCTCCTCTGTTCCAAATCTATATGCTTGTTGCTTAAATAAACGCAGTTGTAATTTTTTGTTTGTTGCACGGGTCGGCCTTTGCTGTTGATTTTGCGATTTTGCGGTCTCATTTTTGGTACCGCCAGACGGCCCCAAAAATGGGACCGTGAAAGTGCTTTTCTTTTGTTCTTTTATGAAGCTGTGCGTGCGGTCCCAAAAATGGGACCGCCAGGCGGTCCCATTTTTAGGACCGTGTTTAGGTGCATTTTTTTGAAGTTTTTTTGTATCAGGGTTGCAGAAGCGCAATGTTTGGGTTTCAATGAAGCTTTGTGGCTTATGGCGACCGGAAGGGCAACTGTATATATATATATGTATATATATATATGTATATATATATATATATACATATATATATATATACACAAAATCCTAGTATGGATAAACTGACAAAGAAATAAGAAGGCACATCAATAGGTAAATGCAAATGAACAAAAAACACAAAACCACATACAATATATAAACATATCATATATATATATATACAGATATAATATCGTCGCAGGGAAAGCTCACTCCCTGACATCACAAACGTGTCCCTGGAGGCAGTTGAAGGCCGTTGCAGCTGCTGATCGCATCTTGTCCCAGCGGGTCTTTGAAGAGGCGCCCCTGTTGGTTGATGAATCATCATTCATCGGGGGTTTTTGAACTGTTCTAACTATCAAAAGATGGAGATCTAGTTGGGATAACGTTGACCAATGATGATTGATGATGATGTGTGATTGTGCTACCCAAAATTTTGGGGATTATCATAGTACATTCGGGGAATCCTTATTGACAGAGGGCTTTGTAGTTTAATGATAACATATGATAACTAAAGCACCAAAGATGGGGATACAATGGGGATATATTGTGGGATATAAGGATATTGGGAATGCAATCAACTTGAGTCAAGTGAGTCATGGTACAAACAGGCGTGTTTGAACATGGGGGATATCCCCAGTTATGGCTCCATATGGCCCCAGGTTTTTTTTTGGGGAAAATGCTGACCATCTATCCAATCTTTTCAGACAAACCGCAATCTATGTTTTGAAACCATCAAAATGTTAGAAATATCAATAAATATCACCTGTATCACAAGAGAAAGAAAAACTGGGCTGGTGATTTCAAGTCATCTTTGGAATGGTCCCCAGTAGCCCAGTAACTTTCCTATCAAACCATGTGATTTTCTCGGATCAAATGATGGAGTTGGAGATGGTTCTCATTCTCCAATGGCCATCCATTTGCTGCTGGCTATGGATTCATTGGATTCACCAAAACAAAAAGTTGCTTCGGTTTTTTCTCAAAAAACTTATTGTTCACAATCATCCAGATCCATGACTTAAGTGTTTCCAAAATATTCAAGATCTGTAGGATGCCTTCCCACACTTTTCGACCTTCTTCCACAGGCTGGTGCCTTGCAGAGCAAAGTCTCCAGAACCAAAGAGGAGATCGTGTCAGATAGCAACAGTCATAGCAAAAGTCATGGATAGCCGTGGGGAGCAACGGGTAACGGGGTAACAAAATAGCTAGAAGGGGACATAACAGGTGGGATGTATAAGCTTAGTTGATAATGGACAATAATGGCAATACAATTGTCACCAATGCAACTGAAAGGGAATATAGCTTAACCGTTAATTTGATGTCAGCAAGGTAATAAAGGGGATTCTTGACTTCAAAATCAACCCTGTGAAGGGGATAAGTGACCGGAGGAGAGCATCACACAACCAAGATCGGCACCAAAGAACAAACACTTACAGGGGGTGATGTATACAAGCAAGGCAATCGCTGATGTAACCAATATCATGTAACCAATATCATGACCAAGAAACCAAGAATAATCGCAGAGATACAGTGTGAAATTTGCGGCTGGTGATGTCTAAAAGTTTCGAAAAGGAAGATTTGACCAACATCATTGATCATATAGATGACGTAACCAAAATGAAGTAGCCAACATTGTCTCTTGACATTTTCCCGTTACAGCAGGTCTGACATGTCAGTGAACCAGAAATTATTGCCCCATCCAGGACTTGCGCGCCGCTAAGCAGCAGGCGTGAAGCAACCACGTTACAAGCACCTGTGGATACCGTGCGGAAAGCTCTGAAATTGAGTCACGTCTCGTTAACGTTGTTGACCCCAAACTTCCCAACCGTTAGTTTCGGAATCGACGCCTGCAGGTGGATGAAGCACAAGAAGTGCAGCTCCACTTGTTGGAGCTTCAACAGCAGCTGGAGAGGCGTCACCGAGGGGTACGGGCCTGGGTGCTGGGCATTTGCCATGGAGCGGACAATGCTGTTGAGGGGTTGACAGCAAGCACTGCTGGCGTTTCCATTTATCGAGCCAGGCAAATTCGCGAACATCGCGAGAATTTGGCTGTTGCAGCTGAGGTGAGCTTCGCGGACGGTTATCAAAGACGCACAAGCAACACCCCCCCAAAAAAAATCCAGCTGCAAACCAACATCCACAGATCACTAATTAATTTCAGCCAATACTATTGCTCTCATTTGGGTTCATAATTTCACTGATGACTGGTATATATATGATTATATATATACACAGAGACATGTACCGTAGATATATAGTATGATGTAAGAGATATAGGATGATATAAGATGATTGTGTATGTATATATATATATACATATACATATACATATATATATATATGAGATAAATATTTCAATGTCCCTCGTCATGCGTACAACTTGTCGCTTCCTGTCACAGGAGCGTCGAAGGCTCATCGATTTGATCTGCGGCTTTCCAAGCCGCGTCGGGCGCCACAGCGATTTGTTGGGCAGCTGGTGGCCTGGTGTAGCCTCCAACGTGGCATGCCTGGGAATCTGAGGGCAGTTGTCTTCTGGCAGGGTACTATTTGGAAGGGCAATATACATGACACATGGACACATGGTTGCGAGACATTTTGGATCGATGAGACGATTTCGCATTTTTCCTTTGTCCATCGCACGGTTCAGGATGCAATGGCTGCGAAGCGAAAATCTCTGGAGGAGGCCGGGCGATGACTAAGACGTTTCCAAACACTCACGATTTCCCCCCTTGGATCAGGCTCTCCATGACGAAATGCGATGTTTGGAGGAGTGGCTTTGCAAGAAATCGGCAGAAAGAGTCAGAATGAAAAGCAAACCAGCAACTTCCAGAATTTCAACATATTGCAACAGTCTGGAAAAGTGATATGGTAGAATCAGGTAGAAGTGGAATCATACGGAATCTGTTCAAAGCGAAAATCAACTTACCTTTGTCTGTGGATATTCTCCAGGAGGCGCAAGATTCGAATGCTCTGCTGGAGGATTCGGTTGGTGGTTTGATGTCAGAGATGGAGAAGCTGCAGCAAGAGAGGCTTTCCATCTTGCAGCAGGCGATTCTGTGCTGTTTCGTTTCGGTTCGATTTTTTGGATGATTTTTTTCGAATGTTGCGGATGGTTTTTGAATGGAACAATGATGCGTTTCTGTGCCGAACTGTTGGATTTTCAGCTTCCAGAGCTTTCCATCACCTGATTTTCGTCAACCTTCGAAGGTGCTCAACGAATCCAATTCCCCCGAGGCCACCAGTTGGGTGCCGGATGGTGATGACAAAATATAGGATATAGAACTTATTTAACGATCCTGGGTATATAATGGTATATATATAATATATAATATATATATATGTAATATATATATTATATATATATACACATAATATCATATGCATATGGTATATGATCCGTATCTCAGAGTGGAGGTCTTAAAGGTCTTAGGTCTTAGAGGTCTATGATGTTTCCGGATGTTTCCCGATGTTTCGCTGATCCCCAGCCATTTGGTTCGAAGTACTGGAGGACACAAGGCGTGGCCTCGTCAACACTGGTGGTGAATGCCACAGATGGAGGCGAAGGATGGTAGGAAAAAAGGAGAGAAAACCTTCCGTGACATGCCTTTGTTGCACAGATTCGTTCAGTTTTTTGTAAGAAGCAACTGGCTATTAATAGGCTTTGCGGATAGCTCCCTCGGCCAACACAGCGATCCGACATGATCCGACCATGTCATTGGACACCTGAGCTTTGCCATGGATTCCTAGAGCATGCAGCGTGAGGTCTACGGACTGCTGAAGGTGGGAAGGTGAAATCAACTCAGTTTGGACATTTGGGCTATTTGGCTGGCTATATTTCCGAAATTTCCCAGTTAGGGTTGGATATATAATATATTTCCATCCTCTCAGCTCGACGGCTAACTTTGATCGCTCTACCTTCTGTAGGCTTATTTCATGTTGGCAACATCATTTTCCCTCTATCCCCAAACAGTTTCTGTTGGTTCATTTGAATCCACAGTTTTTTCCAATCATCAACCATTTTCCAGCAATTCAATAACTTGAATTTCCTCAAATTTTCATCATTCGCTGCATTTTCTTGGTTTTAGAATCCTTTTGATCCTCCATGGCCAGGTACCGGAGCTGAAACGTGAGCTGCTGCGGCGCCAGCTGAACGTGGTGGGCACCCGCAGGGAGCTGACGGAGCGCTTATTGGAGGATGATCAACAGAGGGAGACCTTGGAACCTTGGAAATTATGGGGTTTTGCCATGTTTAACCAAGTTTTTTTTTTGGGGGGGGTTGGGTTTATATACTGTATATACTTATATATAACTACTGTATACTTATATATAACCATGTTTAATAATGTTGAAGTTTAACCATGTTTAAAAACTATGTTTCAAACAATGTTTAACCACGTTGAACCAGCAACACATGGGATATTTAATGGGTATATCATGGGTCTATCACGAATGATGATCTGGTTGGTGGTTTCCTTGTTAATGTATGTTCAGCCATAATATTTGGGATGTTTTGTTTTCCTCTTAATTTTCAATCATAGACATGGGATGATGATCCTCAATGACTGATATGTTTAAATATATATGTTTAAACCACCAGCCAGATGATAGGCATGACAGCATGACTTTGGAGTTTTCTTGATGGGATGAGATGATGGGTATGACTTGGGTCATTTTTGTTATGGCATGGGTAACCCTTTTTGATGAGTCTGGTGAATCAAACATGAAAGCAATGCAAGATATTGACTGATATCAGATATCAACATTTTTTTTTTCCGGGTGAATCACACCAAATGTGGATTGATACCAAAACAATGTTTATTTTGGGCAAAAAGACAGGGTGCCATCCAGTAAACAGGCTTGGCTTAGAGAATCACCATTTTCTATATGGGCAAAGAATCTTGAATGAGGATTTTTGCATTCAGTTTCTTGTAAGTGTCCAGCACAGTGCTTTTGGGCAAGTTCCTGACTGGTGACAATCAAGCTGAGGGGTCGAACCACTCACAGAACATCAACTGAGGTGAAAACAAACTGAACAAAAGTGGCAGAACATGATTGGGGCTTTGAAATTTTGGGATTGAAGATATTGAGTCTTGTTTTGCTCAAATGGTTACTGGGTCACATGGTTCAGCCAGGACATCCCCAGTGGCGATGCCGTCGATGCTGTTGATGCTGTTGATGCTGTTGATGCTGTTGATTGCGAAATCGTCGAAGAGTGTGTGGACTTTGATCTCTACGGTGGTGTAAAGGGAGAGGTGCTGGATGACCCGCAACAGCAACCAATAGACATGGAGCAAGGAAATCAGCAGGTGGGTGTGTCCAAAAATGGGGGATGGGGCCCACAAGGCCCACAAGGCCCACAAGGCCCACAAGGCCCACAAGGCCCACAACTCTTTGCAACTTTTATGGTGGAAATTGGGAAAATGATGATTTACCAATAACTTATTGACAATTTTCAGACAATCCCAGGTGCCAACAGTGCCAACTGCTGAAGATGATGCCACCTTGGGGCAGCTTGAGAAGACGCAGGAGGAAGGTCGAGTGAAGCGTCGCAAGCGGAAGAGGCGTCAGAGCAAAGGGCTGCAGCACAAAGAGGCGCAGCCCACAGATGCTCCAGCAGTTCCATCTGCTCCAGTTCTGTCAGAGACTCAAGAAGCTTCAGAAGCTGCTGATGCTCCAGAAGCCGCTGAAGTTCCAGCGAGTCAAGAAACCTCTGAAGAGAAGGGGATGAAATTTCTTAAGGATGTTCTGAAGCGGTGTTGCCTTGATGAACGCCTCTTGGAATTGCTAGCCGGAATGCCGTCTTTTTTTGCTGTCAAGATTCGGCATCCGTTTTCAGCAGTGGGTTTTAACCCCCGAAACAACGGTTGTGAAGTGCATTTTATCCTGCTATTTATCGTGGATCAATGATTATGATTATGACTATGAATGCGCAACCCCCGCGAACCACGCAGTCTCAAGGATACTTCATCATGATGTCATCATGATGTCATCATTTCATGTTTTCTTGTTTTCCCCTATGGCACTGCAGGTTTGGGATGCAATGGCTATGAGGATCTCCTCCTCCAGCTGCACGAGAAGCTGCTGCCGCCCTACCAACACCCCCTGGACACTGCCTTTGAGCCGCCCGATGTGCCGCCCGCGCCGGAGGAGGCGTTGGAGGCGGCCTGGGCGGAGAAACCGCAGGATGCTGCAGAATCTGAACCAGATCAACGGGATGACCCGGATGACCAGGAGGAAAGTGAGAAAACCACTGGCCAGAAGCCCGATGTTGAAGAGTTGAGCCCGGCACTCCAGGAAGAACTTGGCCGATTGGAAGCAAAGGTCCAGGAAGCCATGAAGAGAACGGCACGAGCTCAGCTGCAGCTGCGGAGGAAGAAGGCGGAAGAATTGTTGTTGGTTGGTCTGGTGAAACATCTGAAAGCTGCCTGCAAAGTCTACAGGGAACCAGGAGAAGAACCTGAGGAGGAAAATATTGGATGTGGGACGGTGGGTTGGGAACGTTTTGAAATGGAAAGACATATTTTTGGAATGTACTGAACTCTCCGTTTTTCTTGCAGCCTCAAAACAAGGCTTCCCAATCATGAAGATAGGGGTTCTTGGCTTCTTCAGCTGTTGTGGCTTGTTTTGGCATGCCTTTATGGAGACACCCCACCTCCATTCAACACCATGTACGGATGCTTGGAGCCGTTTGAATGGGGACAGTGAGATGAAGAGAGAAGGTAGATCCAAGGAAGTGATCAAAGAAACTGACGCTTTGCAGTTCACATTCTGCGTCGTATCGTCTACAGCACCAGACTTCTCTTTGTTTTGCTGGATCGAATTGATCGAAATGAAATGAAATGAAGATATACAAGATGAACACTAAGTAGTTAAAAATACAACAGGACCACCCCCTCGTAAGCACGTCCAGTTTATGCAGAAGGAACGCTGATGTTTTTCTGTTGCTTTTCTCTCCTCGAAGTAAGTATCAAGCTGAGGCAATTTTTATAATGGATGTTAATGGTACATTGGTATACATTGGTTACATAAGTAGGTAAATCATGGTAAATCATGCTAAATCGACCCACTCCTTACAGTGCAATTCAGCCCTAGAAGAGAACATCTTTGCAATGACAAATTTGGGGATGAGGAAGTCATCCGCGGGTCTTTCAACTGGTGTGGTAACCCCCGCTGTTTGAACAGATCTTTCCATCCAACCTAATCATGGTTTCAATTTTGCTTCAATTGGTACTGAAAGAATCACCTCAGTTTTTGAAATCCCAAGCCTCCATTTTTCTAAATCGCAACATTAAAATGATACCAGACATGCCAAGGGATATTGAAGCAGTTAGACTCCATGAATGCCCTTGCAAAATCTTGTAAAGCTGTTGCCCTTTACGGACCCAGTTTTGATCGATCTGGTTTTCGAAGCTGCAGAGGCACCCTGTCCGCCAGCAGGGGACTCAGCCAGAACAGGATGGTTGAGGCGGTTGAGGTCCCAAATTTTGACCAGCCAAGGTGGCGCAAAGAGATGGACGTCGATTTCCCGGATTTCGGGAGGGTGTCTGAGGGGCCTACGATGGCGTAGCACAAAGTTGTTACATCACATGGTTATCAAAAAGCATTGGGTGTGAGTCCATTCGAAACCTATGAGTTTCCAAGCGCAGGAATACACAACTTGTTGCTTCTTCTTTTTGGTGAGTTCTGATTAGAACCACCCAAATGGTATCAAATGGTTGTCATATCCGCAAGATGACCAAGCCCGCTTGAGCCAATGGAAAAAGAGGTGTTTGTGGTTGCGCCTTGCCATCGTTCTTTCCAGGATTGCCCAGGTGATTCATCGGCCTGGCGGTGTTGGTGAGAGTGTACTCGCAACCGTCGCAACCCTGCACTTGTACGACCTGTCCATAGAAAGTATATGGTGCTATCGCTGTAGCGAAGCGCAGCTAACCGCTTGCTTTCGTGAAAATCAACTTGCTAAGCGGACAGCGAATGAACGGCACGTGCAAACACTGTTGCGAAACCGGAAAAACCTCCATGACTTGCAGTTTGAGACTGTGTTTTACCGGTTTGAACCGGTTTGAACCGGACAAATTGTTTGCCGCAGAAAGCGAGACACCTTTGCTCTTTGAAACATATTGAAACTATAGACTACCATTTCATGTTTTCCAATGTCTATACAGTCACGAGTGTTCGAGCTTTGTTTGACTGGCATTAAGAACACGATGAAAGATCGTCAGTGCACTGCAACTTCTTGTGATCATTGTCTCGCGAGATGCACAGCCTGCAGCTCCGTCAAATCCCTCATCTGAACCTATTTTACCAAAACAAATGGAAGGGAACACATGGTAAAACGATATGTAAAACAAAGAAAACGACACCAACAAACAACCAAAGCAGTCACAGTTCAATCTTCGGGTGGAAAGGTCTTGCAAGAGTGCCAGAATGGTGGTGTGAAAACAGTATTCATAACTCATAACCTTTCTCACGGAGCACTAAATGCTTAGATCCTGGTCCAAGCACCATCATTTTTTCTGCGCAGCAGTTTGTTGCCACGCCGTCCCTACAGGGTAATGCCAGCGTTTGCTGCAAGTGCCGCAGGCGTGTAGTGGTTGTCGTATCATGGGTGTCATGCTGCGGTCATACTACTTCCACTTTGAATAGGGCTTGACACCTGCAACTTCGACAGCCTTAGAACTACTTTATTTTGAGTAGCTAATCAGCACGAATGCTTTGCCCACGCTAGTGTAAGCCAATCCGGAAGCGCGAATGTACCGATTTCATGCTTGGGCACTATCTATGGCATAGAGGAATAAAACCCGACAGCGGTCACTTGTGGGAAACTGGATGGAACCAGCTTGGGCACTGGGGGAGCATTGGTGCAACGCTACGTTACCGCCGGCATTCGACCTCAGTGAAACACCCTTTTTACTGAGCACCTGTAAACTGGGCTTCGATATGCATCAGCTGCCTCTCTTCGAGGCAGGTGTGCATGGGCCACTTCGTAGATTCGTAGATTTCATGAGAGCTTTCTCAAATACTGTAGAGGGCCATGCTCCAACTCAGACCCGCACTTCAGGGAAAGGCAACACGGCTTAAACCTACTCAAACTCTTGGGCGAAACATTTGGGTCGTGTTGATCGTGTTCTCTTTAATTGACTGGTAGCAAAACACCTGCAAAAACCGTAAATGAACATAGGACGGCTTGAACATTTCGATGGGCCGGCTGTTTCAGCAACGAAAAAACGCGAAGAAACCAAAATGTGATTCGTATAGCCAAGGATCAAGTACGTGCACACCATCGCACACGTGATTTTGCGCATTCCTGCATTGTGAATTAAGGTCGGGCTGTGCTAAAAGCCATGGGTTGGCTTCGAACCCTTGCAAGACAATTTTGCACTTGTCACCGTAAACTGTCGAAATGGAACGTTTTGACGCACCTTTTTCACGTCCAGACCTTGTTTGATTATGGGGCCAGTGGGCAACTCGTGGATTGCCTTTGCTGTTTGCACAAACACTTCTTGAATCGACCAAGCAACTCACGCACTGTAAGAATGCAGTCGCAAAAGCAATAAAAACGCGGCAAACAACCTCCTGGGCTGATCGCTAGACTCAATGAATCCCTTTGCAACGAATTTTCGATTTGCTAAGACCAGTTGCGCCGGCAACAGTGAAGGAACTAAGAAACAGTTCGGCCAGAACACGCCTACAAACAGAAACATTGTCCGATTCAGAAACTATACGCGGTTCAGCAACTCCGATTCAAGAACTGTTGTGCGCGATTCAGCAATTACCTCGCACGATTCAAAATCCACGATTCAGACACGATATATCTTGCATGATTCTCCTATGTGCCCAAAGCGAATGGGGGGCCTGACGCCATATTCTCTTAGTGCCTGTCCAGTGTGTGTTTTTTGCATTTCGTTCTCAGGCCCCTGCATTTTATGATATTTTTTACAGGCCCCGCCCCACTCCCCCTGGCACCACACGACTGTCAGAAACAATCTTCCGCGATTCAAAAACTACGATTCATAAACTATCGTCCGAGGTCATAGTTTCCAATGTTTCCGAATCAGACCGTGACCATACCAACAGACCTAGCAGGACAACAAGAATCAAGAGGCATCCCTTCGTTTTGTCCCAGCCCTTTAGTGGAACTCTTCGTCAAACCTTGTGTCAATATATGTCAATAGCTTCATCTAACTCATCTAACCATCCGTTTCTCACAAAATAACTCACAATGCCATCGTCTACTTCAAAAAGATAAAAACAATGAAAAACCTCCAATATATATCCAAATGCTTTCTCAACAGTCGAAAATAAAAAACATACAGTAGCTTCATGAATAGTTTCATCCACCGTAAGCTATGTTGTGACTTTGTATAATCTCTTTCCCGTCGACAATCTCCGTTTAAACAATTTGCCTTTGATAAAGGCCTTGTAGGGTACTCCCCTTTTAGACAATTCCCTGGTTTTTACCATCAACACCTAGAAGTCCACGAACCATGTTAACAACTTGCAATGCACAGAGCAGGCGTGTTGCCCGATTCAAAGGCTGTGCTTGTGTTGAGAAGTTGTTGGATTTCCAGCAAGCAAATCGCAGAACACAATAGGTCACAGATTACATCGTACGGAGTTGTCATACCACTTCCTGGGCACATAAAACACGGAATGGCAGCAATACGACAAAAGACGAACTTCATCAAACATGACGATTTGCCCATTCACAACAAACAGCTGCATTCACTCGGAACAGGCAGCAACACCCTTTTGATGAGCAGTATGTTAGCCAGCGGAAGTGCCCGCACAGTAACGATGAGGACGATGAGGTGGATGGAAACCAGGTTCGTGAACGGGCAAACACACTATGGAGGATGTATGCCACGACGATTCCATACAGAGACGTTGTCAGCGACACGTAATCACCATTTTACGCAGAAAAAAAAACTCGCGTTGACCGTGCTTGACCGTGCTTGACCGTGCAACCGTCACCCGCCAATCGCAACAATTGACGTATTTTTTTTCGTTTTCATGGTGGATGGTCAGCGTTTTGGTATCGGAATCTCTTGGCCGCAAACCTGATGGTTGCAGACTTGTTTCAATGCAATCCTTGGCCCACAGCTAGCTCATCGTCAGGTCAAATTTTTTGGTAACCAGAAAATGAATTATCCCCATTTGGTGCCCCTGGCTGAGTTCCCATACCTTCAGCCCAAATTTTTAGCTTATGTCATTTCCAGACATGTCAGCTCATAAATTTTATCCACTGGGAACTTTGGGGTCAGAGCAACAATTTCACTCACTTGCACATGAGGCAACCCTTGGAATTCCAATCCACTTTCACCCACTTACACTTACACATGGATCTTGGATTTTGTAGTCCTTTGAGGGCTGGTTCAATACTGGAAAAGTTCCGGGTATGCGTGATGAGACTTGGAAGGTTGATTCTGTTAGTTCCGGAGGTTTCCGGGGTTCCGGTTTCCGAACAATTGCTGGCCTATCTTGAGTTTAGGGCCATTAGGACTCGAAATTCTTGGGTGCAGAAAATTTTGGGTATTCAA